ATATTTGGAAACGCAAATGGACCGACTCCGCCAACGATCGCGCGCGTGCGCGGCCGGAGAGAGCCGCAGACGCCCTCGCGAACAGATATATTAGGCCAATTATATCCGACTTAATTACACCCCACCGCCCCGCGCCTATTTTCCAACGCTGTCGATGCGAATTAACGCCGGTTGGAACCGCTTCCGCCAATTCCGCCGTTCGTACGAAGAACGCTTATCGCTCGTTTGTTGGAACTCGTTCGTGGAGAAGGTGAAATAGAAGAAAAAAAAAAAGGGGGGAAGAGCAAGGATAAATCGGTCGGGTTGGGAAACAAGATTGGATAAATTTGATAAATCCGCAACGCGTGTAGAGAACGGATGACGAAATGGTCGCGTTCCATTCCATCTGTCTGTCTCACGCGTTATATTTTGTTGTTATTATTATTGGGTGGGAAACAGTGACAAAAATGAAGGATGGGGGATCGAGGCGAAATGGAGTAATTTCACCGGCTCCCAATTAAAGCGTCAATTATAAACAAACAGAAATTCCTTTGATTGGGAGGTTACGTCAATACGCTTAATAAAGTCATCCATTTCACTTTATCTCGTCCATCGTCCGATTCGCGTAATACATAACACACGAAACAACGAAAATTCTGTGAATTATCCCCGTCGTCTTCTTGGCAAAACAACTCCGCCCTACATTCATTTCAATTATAAATGAATCGTGGATCGATTAAGGATATCGAGCGAAGACAAGATGTTCGGTTGGGAAATAATCCTCGCGACGAAATTTAAAATTTATTCCGATCAATTTTCCCTCGTCGTTTCGTGTACGTATTCGAGGAAGAAAAGAAGGAAGGAAGAGGAAAAATTTATATTTTTCTCGTTTCGAGGAAGGAGGAGATCGATGTACTTGCATCCCTCCGTATAATTGGAACAATGTTTCCAGAACGTAATTCGGCCTCCCGAAAATTTTCCTTCCTCCCCCGGTTCCGACAGGCAGATTAAAAGTTTCGTCGTTTGGCCGGCTTCCGCGCGAGTTTTCGCCCGCCCAATTTTCGGCTCGCCCACGCTCCAAGAACGAACAACTCGTATTTCATACTTCAAAAACGAGGAAAAAGGAAAGGAGGGGGCGGAATAGAGGCAGAAGAAGAGGAGTCCAACGCGTTAACCTTAATTAGCACGCGCAGTTGTTGCGGCCAGTTAGCGTGAACTAATACCGTAACACATTTTTAAACTAATTCCAGCGGTGCGCGTGCCACCGTTCGAGGAAGCGAGAACGCAGTCGAGTTTCTGGCCCGCGATAAAAAGGACGTCGTTTTTTTTTTTTTCCGTTTCAAACGCGCGAGTGAAAAAAATTCTGTCGAAATTGTCGAGGAGGCGCGATTAAAAAAAGGGAGAAAAAAGGGTGAGGAGGAGGGGAACAGTCGGTTCGGTGTATCGATGTGCAAAAAATTCGAGCGCGGGGCCCGTAAACACGTCGAAAAGTGACGTATCAACGCGGGTGAGAGATCGTGTCCGACGTGGAACAGCTGGCCTATCTAAATGCACCCGCGATCGATGTTACATCGACGGAGATAATGGTATCCAAACAACGTTGCTCGCGTCAAAAGCAACGGCCGAAACCTGCCGCTCGAAACCGTTTCGTCGCGCAACTTTTGTTACATCCACGAGACTAATTTCATTCGTCCGAAAAATTCTTCCTCCCACGTCCAAGTACAAATATTCCCTTGCGTGGAATTTATTTATTAGACGAATCGTAGCGGCAAGTCGATCGAGAAATTCGAGTACCGTTCGAGTACGTGATCTCAGTTTCGTGAGAAGGAGACGTAATCCTAGTAATCCGTTATCACGATTATTCGTTTACAGTCGTTGAAATTTATTCCCATTCCTGTTTCATTCCCCTCGACGGCGATTTCAATTTGAGGAAGGAAAGGAAAAAGGAAGAGACGGAGCGACACCTCTTCTCCGTCAGGGTTTCGCGAGAGATCGAGGAGGGTTTTTCCTCGCGGTCCAAGATCGACAACCGGATAGACAACCGGTCCGTCGATTTTTTAGCCAGAGAAACCGAAGGCTTTTTGAAATTCCGCTCGCGCGCGATCCCCGAGATAACTCCCCTCGTCCGCTTCGGAACAGATATCCTCGAAGCCGATATTGGAATCGAAAGAGACAAGTGGCGCGAAATTTCTGAATACGAGCCGAAGAATCGAAGCCCGGTTCGCGGCATTCACGGGTTGATAAGCTTTCCCTATTTTTCGCGGGGAGGAGAAGTTTCGGTATTTTTCATCGAACGCATCACAAAGTCGGCGAGGAGTAGAAAGAGAAAGAGAGAGGCGAATTGAAACGCGGCCGTTGTCGAATCGATATAGCCTCGATTCAAACTCGATTCCCGTCTAAACTTCCCCTCTCTTCCCCCTCGTTGTTAACCCTGTTTCGCGCGACCCAACTTTCGCATCCCGCAAGATTGCTACACGATGTTTCGTGAAGAGAAAGAAACTGGAATCGGGATCAAAGTAAAGTTTCTCGACGCCACCTTCGAAAAACGGGGAGAAGGGAGAGAAGGAGGAGAGGGAACGGGGAGGATGGTCTTCAATTAACTCGAGATTTCCTTCCTATTTTCGGTAATACCCTGCTCTTAAAATACCTTAAGCGATTCCGGGTACGAATTTTCTTGTTGGATTAAAAACCTGGATTATTAAGGGGATGGAGGAGGAGGAGGAGGAACTCGAGTCACTTCGCCTCTTTGTGAAATAACGGGTTTCTCCGCTGCAATTTGATCCGGGAGAAGAGTTGGAAGAGGAGAAGAAGGGTCGGAGAAAGTTGGGAGCGGGGCGGGACAAGATTAAAATTTCAACGCGATTCCGTTCGCCTCGATAAGGGGGGGGAGGGGGGGAGGGGGGGAGAGGAGAAACGATAGAGGATGGTCTGGCCGCGAAATGTCTTCAGCTTGTTAGGGACTTAACGAGAAGAAATGCGGCGGATGAGCGGGACGCGGCGGTGGTGGTGGTGGTGAAAAAGCGGGGTGGGATAAAGGCCAGACCTGGTACAACCTGCTCGAGAGCTTTTCGAAGTTGAAGCTGCGCCTGGTAATACCGGGACCGAACCGAATGGTCGAGTACTAATCCGAGTGTAATAATGGTGTACGCGCTCGCAGCCTCGTCGGAGAAGCGCGCATCTCTCTGGCCGCCTCGTCTGCCCGCTTTCAAACTCGTTATACGATTTTTAATACATCGCACCACCGGCCCGCTCTAACGGCTCTCTCTCTCTCTGTTGCTCAAACTGCTCTTTCAAACTCATCTCTCTGCGTCGTCCCTGTCATTTTGGACGAATCGAAAATTCAAAGCTTTGAGAGCGGGGAAAAGGATTGCAACGCGTTTGCTTCCTCATTCGAGAATTTACAAAGTCGAAGAATTATCGCTTCTCTCCTTTTTCTTTCTTTTTTTTTTTTTTCTTACTATATCGTTCGAAAAGTCGTAAATACTTTGCGTTGTCGGGACAGTTTCCCTACTAGATGCGCGTCGAGAAATGATTAATCGGTGTTTACGAGGCGCGAGATAGCGGCCGGATTCATTATGCATTACAGTTTGAACAACGGCAAACGACAGTGAGGAATTGCAGCCGGCTGCGATATTACGCGCTTACGCTGAGAAATTTATAGGATACTCCCGATGGATTCCTCCCTCTGCGATGAAGAATCGGGGCAAGGGGGATAAAGGGCCGTTTCGAATATGGCGAATGGAGAATTGTCCGCCGCTCGATTTCTCCAAGTCGAGGATGGAAAACGCGTCGAAAACGCGTTTAAAAGCGGCGAAAGGAACGCGTTTCGTAAATCCAACTGTTTCCCGGGGGCGTCCTCCTCCTTCCCGCCACCCTGCATTGCATTTGAATACCAAAGACACTAATCCGCGCGCGGACCGATTGAAATGAAAATGCACGTCCACGAATCCACGGCGTGGAATATTCGCTCGAATATCATTTTCATTCGAGGCGTGCAACAACAAAGCTTTAACACCGGTCGATTTATACGCGCGTGCATAAACGCGAGGAGGGAGGGGGTGAATCTCAGGGGTGAAAGTCGAACGATGCGACGTGGAGAATCGACGAATGGAACGAATAAGAAGGGAGAGAGAGAGAGAGAGAGAGGAGAG